CCTCTGTCCTGGGCCAGGCCACCTCCTTCCTCTCCTGGCTGTGGCCTGAGCCACATGACGGCTTCACCGTTGCTGTCCCTGCTCCCGGCAGACTGTCTCATGTTAGCGCTGGCCGTCCCTGAGCAGTGTCTGTTCCTGCTCCCCCAGCGTCCAGCACACACAGGCTAGACCCTGGGCTTCCTCCCCGGCAGCCCCTCCACCCCCTCTCTGGACCCGGGGCCCGTCCCTGCCACTTTCCCTGCCTCCCAATGGCCCTCCTGTGTGCCTGGCCCTGTGCACAGCCCGTGACCAGCTCCTTGCTGCTCCATGGGCATCATGTGTTCCTTGTGCCCAAGCCTCTCATCTGCCAGCACCGAGAGAACCAGCGGTTTGGTTTCTGTTTTCTAACATGTTATAGACCGATAACTGTAAAACATTGGATAAAAGTGGATTATAGAAAAAATAAAGTCAAAGACCTAATATGAATCCCACTTTAGACGATTACATACAACAGTATTAAGATTGTATTTCAATAGGTAGAAATGGAAAACAGTCTTGGATGTTGCACCAAGGTCACCTTGGAAGTCAGATTGCTACATCTGGTCCCTCATGTTGTGGACTAGAAGCACACGGTCGGAGTGCCGGCGTTGGCCTTTGGGCCTGCAGACGAACCATCCCTGAACTGCTCTCGCCCAGGCACCCCGCGCCGTCCGCGCCTCCCCCCTGCGCTCTGCCATGGTGCCGTGAAGCCATCTAGGGCCTTGCTGATGGGCGGGCGGTGTCTCCGGCTCTCCGACAGCCCTGGGGCAGGGGCTTCGGGGCCTGGGGCTCTGGGGGTAACGGGGGAGACAAGAGCTGAGTCTCCAGCGAGGCCCAGGCGGTTTCCGACCTCCGTTTGCAGGACTCTGACCTGTGGAGTCACGGTGGGGTTGGAGCTCAGGTGGGGGAGCTGTGGCGTCGGTTCCAGAGAGAAGCAGAGGCAGCGGTGTGCGTGCATGCGCTCCTGCGTGTGTACCTGTGATTGTGTTCACCATGTGATATGTGGGTTCACGGTGTAAGTGCATACTGTACGTACACAGCACTCGCACGTATGCACGGTGTATACGGATACCGTCGGTGTGTATATGCCTCCCGTGTACGCATATTCGGTCCCAGCGTGTGTGTGTATCCTGTGTGTACATGACTCCAGTGTGTATGTTCGTACCGTATATGTAACCACAGTACAGATGTATGTACTGTACACGCACATATGTGCACATGCACATACCGTGTATATGTCCGTGATCACAGTGCATATACACCTACTGCGTGCACGTGTGAGATCGAGGAGGCCGGGACTCCCCAGGACCCGCCGATGTGCTGTCTGCGAGCCAACAGTGTGATTCCGCCCGAGTCTGGAGGCCTGAGCACCAGCGGCACCAGCGTCCGAGGACGCAGCTGTGCAGAGCAAGTTCACCCCCTATGCCCTTCTGCTCTGTCGGGTCCTCACACGATGATGATGCCCCCACACTGGGAAGGGCCATCTCCTCAGTCCATGATTCAGATGTGAATCTCTCCCAGAGATGCCCTCAGACACAGCAGAAGTGATGCTTTACTTGCTGTCTGGGTGCCCTCAGCCCGAGCAGGGCGACCCGCAAATGTGAGCACTGCAGGGTTTTTGCAGCATCCACACGAGGGCCTGGGACCACGTGGACCTGCCCCCCTGGCGGCTCGGTCCACCCACAGCCTCTCCTTCCTGTTCCTCCTTCTCATCCCTGGCCCCGTTCACCCCCTGGCGTGTGTCCCTCGGGGCTGCCTCCTCATGGGGCCCGAGCACTGTGGATTCTCTGTTTCTCTGCGTGCATGGCCGCGGCTCCCTGGCCCACCCCTCAGGGAAGGAAGCTGGCCCGGGCTGCATGTCGGAGTCTTCCCACCCTGGTTACTGAACCCCCGCAGGTGAGTGTGTGAGGCTGGAATGTTTTGTTCAGTGGATGGAGAGCCTCGCCTGGCCACAGAAATAGTCCCTTGGTTACTTACTCTGTCTTCGGTAAGCCCCAGGAGGGTAGGGACCAACGTAGGGTCTAGTTTCAGTGGTTATCCAAAAATGTTGTGTTAAACAAATGAATTAAGAAATGAGTGAGGGCGCCTGGGCGGCTCAGTTGGTTGAGTGACTGCCTTCAGCTCAGGTCATGGTCCTGAAGTCCCGGGATCAAGTCCTGCATTGGGCTCCCTGCTCAGCGGAGAGTCTGCTTCTCCCTCTGACCCTCCCCCCTCTCATATGCTCTCTCTCTTTCTCTCATTCTCTCTCTCAAATAAAATCTTTAAAAAAAAAATGAGTGAAAGACTACAGTCAAGACAAAAGTGTGAAAAGGCCCTTCGTTCAGAAGGTCTGGCGTGTGGGCTGTGTGGTGTGATCGGTCCCGTCTCTGGGCCGGAGCGGACACCACGTGCCGACAAAGCAAACCAGGACGAGAGATGAGAAATCACGGTTTCCACCTAAAGATGCATCTGCCTTTCGGAGGAGGACAGAGAGGAGGGGCCCGCAGTTCACTAGGTTATAATTAATGCTTCCGTCGTCTGTCCTGGCTTCTGACAGGACACGGCGGGGGGGGGTTCCCTTGCCACAAAACTGATGGTCGTTCAGGCACGGTCATCAGACACTGCAAGGTGTGAAGGTAGGTGTTTCCTCTCGGCAGCGCGTGCATCTGCACCAGGTGGCGGCTGCCAGCCTCGGGACTGAAGCCTCTGCAGGGAGGGGTGTTCATGTGGCCTCGGGGCAGACGTGGCTGTGACACGTATCAGACTGCATGCGTGGGGTGGGGGGTCCTGGCTGCATCAGGGCCTGGAGGTGCCCAGCTGGGCTGCTCCCAATCCTTACAGGCACCCAAGGAGTTAGGAATCGTTCCCTCATTACACGGATGGCGAAGCTAAAACCCCAAGAACTCAAACGCGCCGCCCAGCACACTAGAGCTCATCAGCTCAGAGCTGCGATTTGCACGTAAATCTGGGGACGTCTGCAGCCCGTGCCCCTTTGTGCCCCACTGCCTCGGTTTCCCTGCTGGATGGTTCATCAGTCCAGCCTCGTCGTTCTGTAGCACGTCGTGGGACCCTGAGCCTCGGAGTTAATGCAGTGACGCGGATGGTCCTTTGTCCTTGAGGCCAAGGCCAGGGAGTGCTGCCGAGACCATGGCTCTCTGGGCCTTGGAAACATTCTGGTAGTTTTGGACCCGAGTAGCTCCAGGACTTGCTCAGAGTGCCTGCTGGGAGAGAGTCCCACGGCCCCATGTGCCCCTGACCACAGAAAGGGCCTCCCCCGGGCACAGCGTTGTGGGGGCTCTGGGCTGTGGAGGGGCTACCTGGGCAGAGGTCACGGCCAGGCTGGCCTCACCGCAGATGTGGATGCTCCCCACCGGGCCTATCCCTCTGGGGCGCAGGGGATTGTGCAGCCGGGAAGGCGCTTCCCAGAGCCCCACCAGCTCCTTACCTGCCACACTTCTGCCGGCATCCCCAGACTGGCTGGTGCCTCACCCTCTCCCTCCTCCTCGCCGGCCACCTCGCTCACCCACCAGGGACGCTTCAGGGCATCCTGGAGGTGGTGTGTCTGACCAGAGCCCCAGCGTGTGGAACCGGCCGTGCACTGGGGATGGGACCCCTTGGGTGGCTCTGGGAAGGCGGCGACCACCCCTCAGCCTCGAAGTCGGGGCTCTGTTCCTGACCCTGCCTGCTTGCACCTGACGCCACATTCATGGGGCACGCCAGGCCTGCAACCTCAGGCCCCAGCTGCGACCGGCACTGCCCGGCAGGCCGCCTCTCCCAGGCCCCTGATCAGCTGGCTCCCCGCCTCCCCCAGTCTAGATGGATCCTGCAGGCTGGGCAGGCAGGGAAGTCGGGCCCTGGGGCATCGCAGGTGGTATCGGAGTCTCCCCGGGCTCCGGCCCCTGCAGGACACACCTGCCCGGTCCCAGCTTAGCAGCAGGGCCGCTGCGTGCTGCTGCTGCTTCTCCACCAGCACATAAGCAGTCCCTGCGCAGGCATCCCTCTGGCTCCTGGGGCCTGGCTGTCCCTGGCTGCCCACTTCCATGATGTCAGAACAGCCCCCAGACTCTCCTGTTTCATAGGTGAGGGCACTGAGGTTCACCGGTGAGAAGCAGCTTGTTGGGGGTTGCTCGGTTGGCCCGGCGTTGGGCCAGAGCTCAGACCGGGGACATGAGCTTCTGCTTCCCCATCTCTGCAAAGAGCCCACAAGACCTCGCTGCCTGTTCTCTGCGGGGTTGGAAGAGGGTCTGTAGAGGCCTCTCACCCCACACCTCCAGATGGCTCTGTGCGCGGGGGTCCAACTGCTAGCGGGCCCCAGGGCCTCCCTGCGCAAGCGGCCTGCATGTGGGGGCTCCCACTGGCCGGGCCGGGGGCTTCCGCAGGTGTGGACGTGAAGCAGGCCGTGGTAGTCTGTGCTTTGTCTCCTGGGGACGTTTAAGCAGATTGGCCGTTCTGAGTCCTGAGGGGAAACCGAAAACGTTTTCCTTCCCCTAAAATCGAAGACTAGAAGAGCCAGAAAAACCATAAATCGTGGAGGGTAGAATAGGCTTCCATTGTACGGGGAAGAACATCAAGGCCGGGAGAGGCTACGTGACCCACGGGAGGTCACACATGCGCGGGGGCCGAACCGAGCCCCGATCCAGGCTCCTCCCGCACGATGCCTGCTCGCCCATCAGCAGCCTGCCCGGGGTCCACACGCAGCCGGCAGGATTGGGTCGAGCCCCCGCAGGGCACATGGGGATCGGGATGAGGACACCCAGGGTGCAGACAGCCCCAGATGGCTGCCATAGCGCACAAACAGGCGTGGGCCGGCAGGCCCCGTAGTAAGGGCTTCATCCACGAATAGCCTAACGGTACCGACCTGGTGGTCGGGCAGAGAACGGCGCGTGCCATTAACACAGTCGCTTAACACTCTTCGTGAAACGGGCGCACTCCCTACCGCGTGAGACCAACCTCTGCTTTACCAGGCGGTCGACAGCGCTGGGCGGCGGCTGCGGGGGCTCGGCATGTTCAGTGGGCTCCCGGGTGACCCCGCGGGGACAGGTCACGGGTCTGGTGGTGCACATGCAGACGCCCCTTCCCGCCGGACCTGTGTCCTGACGGCCCGACGGTGGGCACATGGGGCTGACACAGCTCTCCCCGCCGCCTCAGTGTGTCCGCTGCCTCCGACCGTGAGTCACGGTGACTTCGTGTGCCACCCGCGGCCTTGTGAGCACTACAACCACGGGACCGTGGTGGAGTTTTACTGCGACCCCGGCTACAGCCTCACCAGTGATTACAAGTACATCACATGCCAGTACGGGGAGTGGTTTCCCTCCTACCAAGTCTACTGCATCCAGTCAGGTGAGCGCGCACGGCCCGGGCCACGCCGCACACGGTGGCCACCGGCCGTGTCCCCCCCCACCACGCAAGGGTCAGGGACACGGCGCAGAGACTCATCTTTGTGAGTTCCCGTCCCTGGGGAAGGAGGGTCCGCTCTGTCTGCCCCCAGCCCTGTCCCGCCCACAGACAGGGACCTCAGCCCACGCGTGTGGCCCAAACCCAGCCATTCTCTTGTGAGGACACATGTCAGAACCCAGAGGGTGTCATCACACAGAACACCTGTTCTCATGTAGGAAGGCCCAGGCCACTTGCAAACGTCAGTGCCTCTCAGTTCATAACAAGTGACTAGCAGACCAGCCTTACCGCTGACCTAAGGAGCCCGGGTGGTGAGCACGGGGCGCAGACCAGGGCACCAGCACCCAGCCACCCTCTGTCTCCCGCATGCCCAGCCCTGCCCACTCGCCCCGGCCTTTCCTGCCAGAGTACTGACAATCACGAAAGACGTAGTCCCCGGCCCCCGTATGTGGGGGCAGCACCTGGTGACCCGGGGGCAGCTCCTGGTGACCCAGGGCCTCTGGAGGCCGATGAACGGCAACGGGAGCCAGAACAGGATGCCTGTGGAGGTGGCAGCAGCAAGGGAGGACGGCGGGGGGCAGACAGGGCGGCCTGGGCCCCAGGGATGGGAACCGTTCTGGAAGGCTCACTGTCGGCTGCCCCTCCTGTAGGTGTGCTGACGGCTAGAGGCGGTGGGGAGGCTCGCCCCTCTACTCCTCTGTCCCTCTCTTCTACTCAGCCCACAAGCCCAGGACCCCCTCCCCCTGGCCTGCCGCCCCCCGGCCCAGGTGTGCTGCAAACACAGCTTCCCCGGGGAGACGGACCCCCATTCGGGCCCCCGTTCCCCCTGCCAGAGAAGCAGGAGTGCTCCCAGCTGGGCACCGGGCTCTCAGCCCCATGGGGAGCATGCTCCTGTGGGTGGCTTGCAGAGGCCATGCTGCGGGCAGAGCGCAGGGGGTGGGGTCCGGATGCGGGGAGCCCCCAGACGCACGTGATAAGCATGCTGTTTCCCAGATCACCCACAAATGGACACAGGGCCATCCCAGTCCAGAAGCCTCACGCGCCACTCTGTTCTCTCCCTGGCAGAGCAAACGTGGCCCAGCAGCCACGAGACCCTCCTGACCACATGGAAGATCGTGGCGTTCACGGCGACCAGCGTGTTGCTGGTGCTGGTGCTCGTCATCCTGGCCAGGATGTTCCAGACCAAGTTCAAGGCCCACTTTCCCCCCAGGTAAGTGCTGGGGTTCAGCACCTCTGAAGGTGGGTGGTGAGAGCAGAGGGTCAAAGGTCAGGCTCCTGGGGTGCGGAGGGGCATCTGGGGTCAGAGCGCAGGCTGGACAGGGCTCCCCACCCTCTCCCCCACCTCCACGTGAGCCCCAGGCGCCGTGGGGTGTGGAGAAGGGGCGCGCAGAGTTGGGGTTGCTGCCAGGCAGGACCCCCAGGACCCCTTTCCCATCCTGCGCACACGGCCCACGGCCCACAGGGAGGGTAAGAAATTCACAGAATTAGGAGATGCGGCGAAGGTGTGTGACACAACAGAGGTTCAAGAACGGTGTGCCTGTAAGTCTCTGGAAGAAGATGGGGTTCTGGAGGAGGCGTGGGGTAGGGGACAGGACCCACTCGCCCTCCCCTGCCCGTGCGCAGAGGCTCGGGCCGATGCCTCCGTCCTCCCCTCGGTCATCACAGAAGAGGAGCTTGTCCGGAAGCAGGTAGGCCAGCTCCTCGGCGACAACAGCCATCATCGCGGCTGCTGGCAGCCACGTTCCCAGGAGGAGGTGTTGCTGGGAGAGCCGGGTGACGAGCATGCGGCCATCCGAGGCAGAGGGCAGGGCGCTGGCCAGCCTCCCCAACGCCAGCCGCCTTTAGCCACCTCGCTCCACGGAGTCCTGAGCGTCCTCGGGCCCCTGTGCTGGCCTCCCCTCGGGGACCTTACGCTTCCAGAAAAGACATTTGTCTGCCCACGGGGACAGCCCACCCCCAGAGCTGTGTGTGCCCCCCTGCAAAGGGGGTGCTGATGGTGGAGGAGGAGGCTTCTGGAAAATCCCGCGTCCCTCACAGTCCCGGCCGGGTGAGGAGGGAGGGATGGCACCTGCCCGCCTCTGCCCTGGACCTCACGCCCCGCTCTGGCCTTCTGCTGCTGAGCCGCTGAGCCGCTGAGCCATGCACCTGCCCGACCACAGGGGTCCCGACCCCGCAGGTGCCCCCTCTCCCAGCCCAGCCTGCGAAGTGCCACAGCCAAGCCCCTGCAGAGATGCCGGGAGCTTCTGTCTTGCTGTCTCTGTCCTCAACAGCACAGCTTAGTAACCACAGACTGTGTTCCATCGTGAGCAATTACAGCGTCTGAAAAGGCCCAGGGGTCACAGAGGGGCCTCACCCACACGTCATGGTTTATGGCACATGGGGGTGCTTGGAAACGGCCAAAGCAGCCAAAAAGCCGCTCAGCTGTCCAGATAGAAGACTGCGTTGTTTGGGGCAAGCCCAGGATGGACTCTTCCTCGGGCCGCACGTGTGTGGACCCTGGAGAACCACGCGATGAGCGCACATGGGGGCTGAGCACTGTGGGGGTGCCGTGGACAGGGCGAGGCCCGGGAGGAAGGGGGCTGGCTTGTCCAGGGCACCCGAACGAGAGCGAGCAGCCTCTTGAAGGTTCACGGCGAGCTCGCCCTTCATCCCTGCCCTGCCTCCCGGGGAGTGGGCCTTGCTCCTCGCTCTCTGGAATGCGCCCCAAACATCCGCAGACTTGGGCCTGGCGCTGCCCTCCCCCAACGCTGCATCCTGGCATGGCACTTCCTTGGGCTTTGGAGCCCTGCTGCCACCACGAGAGTCTGCCCGCCGGCCGGGCTGTCTTCTGTCCCGGACGGTTTACTCGGGGCTGCGTCACTCAGCCCCGGGGGCCCTCAGAGGAGCCAGTCCACTGGCCGCTCGCAGCCACTGGGGCCCCGTGGGGGTCAGGAGCAGAGAGGTGGTCAGACAGGGCCTGCGGGGTGATGGGGCGTGCAGGGGCGAGGCCAGCAGCCGGTGCCGCGTCGGGGACCCCCCACACGGACCACGGCCCCTCCTGGTGGCCCCACGTGGCTCAGGTTCAGGTGGCTGCTGGGTTGGGGGGTGGAGCGGGGCCCATGTAACGGGTCAGGTGGTGAGACACGGCTTGGAACTTTCCTTTCTTCCCGTTTTCTGCCTTGACTAAAACTCCGAGAACGAAGCGGCATAGGCAGCACAGGGTCCCCCTTCCCTGGTGGCACGTGGGGTCCTGGGTTCCTGTTGGTCTGAGGTGTCTTCCATTCCCAGCAGGCTCCGCAAGGGGCCCTGCGGGGGCCCAGTGCACAGAGGCCAGAGATGGGGAGAAGGAAGCCCGAGGGGGGCGTGGGGGCCCAAGACAGAGGAGGACGCTGCGGGCGGAGCGCAGTGCGGGCAGAGCGCCATGGGCCGCAGGGGGCCTGGGAAGGAGGCTGGTCCTCCCGCAGGCTCCTCAGCCGTCAGGGGCACAGGGTCACTGGTGGCCTCGGTCCGCAGGGACCTGCTGTCTGATCTGTGGGTGCTGCTTTCCTTCGCACAGGGGGCCTCCGCAGAGCTCCTGCAGTGACCCGGACTTCGTGGTGGTGGACGGCGTGCCTGTCATGCTTCCGTCCTACGACGAGGCTGTGAGCGGAGGCATGAGGGCGTCAGGCCCCGGGTACCTGGCCTCCATGGGCCAGGGCTGCCGCTTGCCCGTGGACGACCAGAGCCCCCCAGCGTACCCCGGCTCAGGGGACACGGACACAGGCCCCGGGGGGTCAGAACCCTGTGACAGCGGCTCAGGCTCTTCCGAGCTGCTCCAGAGTCTGTATTCGCCTTCCGTGTGTCCGGGGGGCACGATCCCCGACAGCACTGACATGGGGGCCCGCACGGCGGGAGAGGCGGCATCCACCAGCCCGGGCATCGACATCGCAGACGGTGAGTGTTTGCCCCACGCCTGGCCTCTTCTGCGGCCTGAACCACCGCTTGTCGCTCTCCCTGAGTGTGAGGCCTCAAACGAGGCCGTCAGGTCCCCCTCGATGAGCCCGTAGCTGAGACTTCAGGAGGCACATGCCGGCTGTGGAGGCCCGCGCTTGGTTTTGTCGTGTCCATGGGAACCAGGATGCTTCCTTCCCCATCCCTGCTTTAGACGGGGCCCTGGAAGCACTCAGAGACAGGGTCACCGTGCACATGATCAGGCGACGGGTGCACACGGTATAGGGTGGCCCTGGAGAAGCCGTGTGCACGCGGGCGCTCCCAGCAGGCGTGAAGTTAACAGGCATGCGTGCCTGGCAATCGCAGCTCATGGTAGAGAGACCAGGGTGTCTCCCCGGGGAGGCTCACAGAGCCCCGTGCACGTGGGAGGCCAGCCCAGGCCGTGGCCACAGCGGCCCAGAGCCTGGCCTCCTTCCCGCACGCCCGCTGCCGCTGTGTCCCTGAATCCTGCCCTTCTGGCTTGACCCCTAAGGGCACATGGTTAAAGTCTTAATGTTTTATTTTTCATGAGCTGGTGGAAGGTTTTTCAACAAAGAGACGGCATACAGAGGAGTAGTTTCCGTGATTATTAACGGATACGTGGAACTTAACAGTTTCTTCTGACACCAGGAATTACAGATGTTTTAATAAAGCTTTTAACCGCCAGTCCTTGCGGCAGACTAGTAACCGTCTCTCCTTTCACAGAGATCCCGCTAATGGAAGGAGATCCGTGACCAGCAAAGCCGCAAAAATTCTCCTGCCCCTGCGGGGACGGGAACCGTGCGCCTCAGAGGGAAGCCCCAGAGGGACTGGCCGTGGGGGCGTGGGGGGTTTCTAGCTTACCTACATGGGGACCGTGACTCGCATCATCCATCCCAGGCTCGACGCTGCGGCGGGCACTCGCGGGGAGCAGGGACGAGGGGGCCTGGGCGGTCCCGGTGAAGGGGTCTGGCGCGTCCCTGCTGCAGAGCGGGGCGGCTCCACACACGTCCCGCTGAGCCCCCCACCCCACAGCTTGTGCTGCGGGCACTGCCTGCCACCTCTGCAAGCATGTTCCCCACCGATTCACCCCGTGTCGGCTCCACGCGACACGGCCGCCGTGTGGAAGGCTCCCGGGTGCGTGGGGGCCATCTCCTTGATCCGGACACAGTACTGGATTCGAGAGAGAAGAAAGGAAGGACACGGGCAGACTCTGCTTCCTGGAAGTTCGTCCACAAGTGCAGTTGATGAGCTCTGAGCCATCCTTTGGACAAACATGGTGGTTTTCTGTCTCATGGGCTGGTGCATGGATCGTGCTCCGGGTAAGTCTCGTGTCTCGTGACTTTGTGGATGGCTGGATGTGCTCAGACGTGTCTCCTGGCGGACAGAGTTACAAGGTAACGTTCTGTTTGGCGTTTTAAGGTGTCCCTTGACCATGTGTCTCGAGAGTCGCGAGTCCCCTCCCATCACCCGTTACGATATTGCCCCTGCTCCCAGAATGCAGCCATACGTTTATTTTCCAAAACAGAAATTGTTTCTGTCAACGTGCTCTTCCTACAAATAAACTATGAGGCTGGATTTTTTTTCTTTCTGTTTTGTCTGCCAAGTGCACGCCCAGACGGCTCTCTGGCTCTCCCCTCCAGCCGCTCCTGCCGCGAGGGCCTCCCCGGGCCCACTGGGTGCTGTTCCTAAGAAAATGAGTGACAAAAACGTTCCCCGAGTCCTAAAACGTCTCTTTCAAATACATGCTGATCTGTGGATTTGATTTCTTTCCTCCTCTGGGCTTTAGGCAAATATAAACAAAACTCTGATCCATAAAATTGCTACGTCCATGCAGCGCGGGAGCTGGGAGCTTGGTCAAATCCTGTTTTATCCTGGCACAGATTAAAAATTAAAAACAACACGGCAGTTTGAAGCATGGCTTTAATAGTGGAGTCGGGCGGGCAGAGGAGAGGTCGTGACCCCCGCGACCGGGCGCTGACGGCGGCGTCTGCGACGTGCCCACCGAGCTGGCCCGGGCCCGAGAGCGGGGGGCGGTGAGGAGCAGCGTTTAGTCACGAGAACTTCGGCACAACTTTGCCTCACAAGCCGCACACAAGGAGCTGGTTTTCACGAGTGTTTGTGCTTAAATGCCACCCGGTCCCCCAGGAGGCAGAGAGCGTTGGCGGCAGGGGGGTCCAGGGTCCACCGTGGGCTGCCTCCTCTAGGCAGTGGCCCCAGGACCAGGCCTGCGCCGGCCTCCCTCCCGGCCCCTGAGTGCACGGCAGGTCTTCCGGGGAAGTGGGCATTCCTGGCCCACCTCCTTCCGGGAAGTGTTCTCCTCCCAAACTAGAGAGCGCCCCTCCCCCTGAGCCGAGCCCAGGGATGCCGCCCCAGCCGGGCACCCGGAGACGGAAGCGCAGGTGCCACACACGTCCAGGCGTCTGCGGCAACAGTGTGGGAAACGTAGTGACCGGTTAGAAGATGTCTGCTCCTCGGCCTCAGAGTCTAATGCAATCACCTGGACCCCCTTTAGCTTCTGGCCCCAATCCCGCCCACAAGTGCTGCTTGCTGTGTCATTTCATCCTGGGGAGGTTGTGTGGCAGGAGAGAATGCTCGTGACCTCCCCAGCACGTCCTGGTCCTGGTCTTGGCTTCGTGTGAAAGTTCTGGAAGGCCCTCTGACTCAGATGCACGCTTGCGTCCCCCGGCGGGGGAGAGCGCCATCCTGGCTCTGTGCTTCTGCCCTGGGGGAGGGAGGCGCCTGCAGCCGAGCCTGAGCACAGACCCCGGGCTGCGCCTGAGGAGTCCAGGAACTGGAGGGGAGTTCTCTGTTGCAAGCCCAGCAGACGTCACAGGACAAACTCACACCTCACTGCTGTGAGGCTTGTGTTAACTGCAGTTTGATTTGCTGGCGCGGGGTCTTCAGAGCCTTCCCCACCCCCCACCCCCCCGCACCCGTCCCAGCGGCTGCGCGAGACCCCCTCCTACTCCCTGGCCACACCGCGGTACCCAGGACAGCAGGGAGTCAGGTGCAGAGGCTCGCGGGCCTCGGCCTGCCGGGTCCAGATGCCCCTTGCACTCCCGGGCCGCTGCCCTCTGCGTCCCGGTGTCCCCGCAGGGGCAACTGAGCATCACGCAGCCACCACCCCCCCCGCCCCACCCCGGCTTCCAGTTCTGTCTCTGCCACTAACGGGCCGTGTGTCTGGACGGGGGGTTGCCTCCTGGGGCTTCCGTCTCCTGATGAGGAAGTGAGAGATGGCTCCCCTCAGCCTTCATCACCGGCCTGTGGTGAGAAGGACAGCTAACGCCGGGCACGCACCCCGCGCCCAGCAGGCATTGACGGATGGCGGCCGTTCTCCCCTGGTTGCCGAGTGTGGATTAAGCTATCACGCGGGTCATTTCCAGGCACTTTTCACCTACCTGGGTCGCTGCGGCCCCCAAGCATGCCTGCAGGCGCACCGTGCTGGGGGCTGCCCCCAGCAGATGGGCAGAAAGGTGGGACGCCCCTTCCCCTGGGCCCTCCCCCAGGAGCCCCTGCTTGGCTTCCGTATGCTGAGCTTTCCATGCAGGGGGAAGTGTCTGATCCTCTGAATGCTCCGGAAGCTTCTGCTCGGGGAAGGCAGCACAATCTCGGGAATGTCCCCAAGGACTCTGAAGAACCCAGATCACCTTCACAGGCAGCCCTGTAAATTAACACTAACCTGCTTCCCTAATTTTATAATCTGTCTTGGATTGAAGGCATAAAAGCTAACACCCATCCATTTCCAAGGTGATGGCCAAACCCACAGTAAAGATGCCTGGTCTACTAGCAGGCAGAGCAGGGCCTGGGAGAGAGCCATCGCTTGTCAGGGAGGGCGGGTCCTGAGCACAATGGTCTTGAAATCATAAAGCTTGATGCAGAGTGTGTGCTGCCCACACGGCCATGGCAGGCAGCCTGCTGTCCCCACGCTGGGCTAGGACTCAGTTCCTGGGTACCTGTGATGCACATCTCTGAGTGGCCAGAGTTGTGGCCCTGCCACTTGTCCTGCTTAGAGGTGCATCAGTGCATCCAGAGCCCACGGGAATGCTGGTCCCTGGTCCTCTGAGGCCGCTGGACACAGAAACCCCAACACCAGGGGTACAGGATGGAGCCTGAGGGAATGGCTGTGTGCCAGGCCCTGTCTCAGCTCTCTGGGCCGGTGGAAGTGGGCTGGTAAATGGGCAGGTGCAGACTGGGAGCTGGAACACACGGGACACCCACCCAGGTGCTCAGGGAGGCTGCCATGTGGGGGCCACCCCAGGGGGGTCCCCAGGGGTGGAGGAGCAGGTGTGTGGCAGAGGGGCAGGAGAGCTGAGCTGAGCTAGGGGCCCAGACGCCGGAAGGAGAAGAGCAGGTGAGGGGAGGGAGGACGGGCAGCAGAGGTGGGACTGGAAGGAAAGCCGGGCTGGCTGGGAGACTGGGTGTCCCTGGAGAAGGACAGTGGTTCTCTAGGGATTCGAACCCACCAAAGGCTTGAAGCAGGGAAGCACGCCCGGGTCTGAGCCGTCTGCGAGGCCCGTCAGCTTGTGGAACCAGGCCCAGGAGTCAGTTTCTGGCTGCCCCTGGGCCCCTGCCTCTGTCCCCACCAGCACCTCCTCCCCGGGAAATGCGGGCTCAGTCAGGGGGGTGTCTACACCGAGAAACTCTGCAGCCACCTCCATCGGGGAGGGTGGGGATGAGCAGTCTGCAGGAGCAGACTCTGGGGAACGCCTTCCCCTCCACCAGCCCCCAAAATTTGTTAACTTCCGATCTTACGGTGATTTTGATCAACCACCACTTGGGTATCTGAGGGCTGGAAACCACCTGCTTAGTCATTGAGCCAAACGCCTGTGTGACACAGCATGGAGTTCCCACGTCCACAGGCCACACGCTTGCCCTCTCCACGCTGGTCAAGCGCTCCCTCCCACGGTTCCTGGGGACCCCTGACGTGGGCGGAGCAATGTTGGCCTCGGGCTCCTAGGGGCCCAGCTTGGGGCCTGGCTGGTGCTGGGCTGGGCATGTCCCGGCTGGGCTCTCCGCCTGGTCCCTTATGGAAGCCACGCCAGGCAAGACTGCGGCGTTCAGCCTCACGTCCTTCACTAAGGTGAAGCTATGAACAGCCCCGGCCTCTGTTTCTTGTCTGGCTTCAACACCATGACGACACGGGCCGTGGAGCAGTGCCTGGCGCTGAGTAAACACCCACAGCTGCATCTGTCTCCGCTGTACTCCGAGGCAGCAGTGTCCCTGCTGCTCACTCTTCCCGCCTTTACTAGACACAGGAATCCTCTGCGGCTGGGTGAGGCCTTCCCTCAGCCCCTGCTCTGCTGGGGTGTCGAGTCCGGGCCTTGGCTGTTCCCCTGGGGCATCCGCGGCCCCTGCTCCTGCCCCACCTGGGAGCCTCTGTGGCAGTTACCACGGTGAGAGCTGCCGGCACTCCAGACGAGGCTTCCTGGGGAAACTCGGGCCATGTGACCAGCCCCTCTCGACCCTGAACTTACTGAAATCTGGTGTCCTAACGAGAAAGGGATTTTGTAAAAGCCTCGTTGAGGGCTCGGCGGGGAGGCATTATTAGAGTTGACCCTCGAATCAAGGGTGCCTCTAGCCCGGTGGCTTCCAGCCGGGGAGGTCTGCACCCTCGGGGGATATTTGGCTGGTGACAGTGGGGGGTGGGGCATTACCGGCATCCAGGGGCGGAGGCCGGGATGCTGCCAACACCCTGCATGCACAGGACAGCCCCCAACAAGGCTTCACCCCAAATGCCAACAGCGCCAAGGTGAGAAACCGTGGTTTAGGAGACAGTCATGTCTCCTAACTGACACAGGTGAGGTTTGACTCAGTCACTCTTGCTCTGAATCAGGGCCCTGGGCCCTCCCACCGTCTGCAGAGGCCTCTGGAGCCTCCCTCAGAATTACATTTCCAAATGCATAACACAAAAATCAGTGAATTACATGGAAACACAATTATCAAAACATTTTTAAAACTAACATACAACACAATTATTTTTTTTTCCTTGATCAGCACACTAAAGAACAAAGTAGAACAGCAGGTCTGATCACGACAATAAATGCAATGCAGCTAGTGTGTGTGAACAGTACCTGCCCCCACCCCGGGGGAGCAGACCCATGAGGGCCGGAGCAGGTGGGCACGGGCATGTGCATGGATGTGGAGGATCTGAGGCGGCCGCTGGGAGATGCCCCTGGGAGCCGCGCAGCGCAAGGACACAGACGCAGCTCTGGGTAGGGGCTGCCAGGGACTGGCTCAGCCGCGCAGCCTCTGCTCGGATGCCCCCCTCGGGTGCCACAGCTCAGATGCCCTCCCATGCCCCCCCTGCTCAGCAGCCCCCCACTCAGATGCCCCCCCCGGATGCCCGCGCTCTGCCGCCCCTGCTCGGATGACCCCCTCAGATGCCCCCGCTCGGCAGCCTCTGCTCAGATGCCCACCCCCCAGATGCCCGCGCTCTGCCGCCCCTGCTCGGCAGCCTCCTGCTCGGATGACCCCCTCAGATGCCCCGTGCCCCCGGCAGCACCCCGCCCCTGCTCGGATGCCACGTCACCAGAACCAAGCAGAGAAGCCAAAAGAAACACGTTTTCAAACTATCGATGGTAATACCAATTGAGATCAACGGTGCTTACAGAAAATACAGAATTATCTTCGTATTCTCTCTACCGAAAATGATGAGAGAAAATCATTGTCCTAGAAAGAGAGAAAAGAACATAAGGCCACAGCATGTAGGGTAGGAGTATGATGGACGATTGGCAGCAGATAATCAATAATCATAATTTACAGACTATTTTGTTACTTCTTTCTCAAGTGTGTTATTTTTGTGATGTCTGTGTGGCCGGCTTATGGTAATCTATAACTTGTTGCGGTTTCTTATTCTAAGTAAATACTCATTTTTGTACCCCAGGTTCAATTGTGCATCTT